CATCAATCAATTTCATAACATTCCTTATAACCAACACTTAAAGAAACAGATCATTCTCAATGTTATGAGGACATTAAATTAGAGTATAACACAAAACTGCTGCTTTACAAATATTTCCCTCCAATCGTACACCTGGTGATAGAAGTCAACCTCCCAAACCAACAGAAACAAGCAAACCTTCTCTGTTGGGGCAGAGTCAAGAGTGCAGCCAAACTGTCAGTGGCTACACAGAGAACCCTTTGTCCCACAGAATCTTCTCGCGCAGTAGAAAACCAGTGAATAAATGAAAATGCCATTTTTTATATACCTTTGATGAAACATGCAAACTGCTTCAAAAGAAACAAAGGCTGACACCAGAGGAGTTTTAAATCGCTTGAGGAAGTCAATTCAAAAGCAATTAATTGTTATGAATAAATTTGAGATGTTTCATAATTATTGTCAGAATAGTAAGAAACAGCAACTAAGCTTTACAACAACAACAACAACAAAATACAGAACATTACTACCCTCCACTCTTTCAGCAAAGAATAGTACAGAGTGGTTTAAAAAGCAGAAACAAACTACAGCTTCTTTGGGCACAGGGAACATTCACATACAGCTTTAATGCTTGAAAATTAATCCCATGTTATTCTCACCTAATGTCTACTCTGCAAGTTATTGATGGGGAGGGGGAGAGCACCCCTCAAACAAAACCCACATAACTCTACAGTATTGACTTAAGTGGTAAATATTGGAAGTTTTTCTCAGCGTAATGTGTTTGCAGCAGATTTTGTGGTGTCAGAGAGGGGACTTCGTACTGCAGTCCAGAAATACAGACACTCATACATCAAGAGCAGGGAACATATAGTTCCATCACTATTTTAATACGATGGTCCAATGACAGAACAAAATTCATGCATCGGGAGTTCACCTCTGGCAATTTATCTTCTTGTACGGCTAAATTTGTAACAGAGAGAAATTGTCGCAGATAATTTCCTCCTAGACATGGAAAGAGGTCCAAAGCTGCTGTACAGTACAACCCATTTGACAGCAGATAATCACAAGACACCAACAGTTGTGAGAACAAATGCTAAGTAAGGCAGAATTAAATAAATTAGTAGAGATACACAATTAAGTG